TGTCACGGTCATCCAGTCTTCTCACAACCCCCGACCGACGCCGGTCCGGTCCGCCAAGCTAATGGGCCGTGCATTGTCCAGGGTTCGGATCCAACCGACCGGCGTTTTCTGCATGAAGACTTCACATTTTGGGCGGAGACTCCCCACCAAAATAGGCTGAACTTCCCTGTTTAACCGACCGGAGCAGCACAAACGTGTAAAACCAAGCAACATGTGAAATCACAATGAAACACAAAGCAATGTGTTCTTCAGACCGTTTGCACCGTGGTTCTGTCCGACCCGTCCGACGCAGGCTGGTATGGGAGATGCTGCGCTGACGGTGTGGGCACCCAGTGCTGGGTGATGCCAGCTGAGCGAGCCGGCTCGCGTTCGTGAGCACATGGATGAAAGACATTGACAAACATTTTCACTCATCTGAAGGTGAGGATTGTTGGGAGATGATGAAGATTAGTCATGACTGAGTTTTTTGGGGTTTTGACCCGCAGAAGTAGGCCTCAGCAAATCCCTTGGCCCCCGTGGGTGGTAGTTGTCCTGTCAACCACAAGAGAATCGATCCAGGTGGTAAGGACATGAAAGGACTCAGCAGATGAACATTAATCGCTGTGTTTTCCCAGCTTCCCAGATGTTGCTGCAGATGGTCAAAGGCCCTTTTGCACATTCCAGCTTCCCTGGTAGAGCGGGGTCCGTGCCTCCGTGCACACATGCTGTGCACACTGAGTTTGGAGGACATGAAATCTGTATGGAACTCCCATCCGAACGAAGGAACTCCCCACTGTATGCTCCCATGTTTGGAGCGCACAGGAAGCGCACAGCAAGAAGTTCAAGACTGGGGTGGCCCACCTAAAAGTTGATCCCCTCCATTTTGACCTGGAAGAGGCCATTCATTGGACTTCCCCCTTTTTGACTCCCCAACCCGCTTGGTCGCAGCACCTCTTTCCAAGCGGATTCCGGTTTGCTTTGGGTTGGATCGAACTTGGGTATATCTCATCACCAGGGCCTAGTGGATGATTGAGTAAAGACCCTTCCCCCCAAAACACCGATCATCTTTGACCGGGTAATTGGACACACACTGGATCCTCCAGACTCCCAGATCCGATGGTCATTTATTTGTTTTCAGTGTCCCCGACTGTGGCTGCGGCATGCTGCGGCTACAATTCTGTACACTGTAGACACTGAAGGAAGAGAAGAATGGTCCGGTTTCAGACCTAGATCGCCGTTGCTTGTCACGTTTGCATGCAATCCGTTTGCATCCGTTTTGGAAGACCACGTTGTTTGCAATCGGGTAATCCGAAGTCGCAAGAGTCTTTGAGTAACTGCTCGCCTGTTCTCAAGACTTTCTCAACCGCTATCCGCTATAAAATTATGCTATAAACACATCTCCTCCCGGCTACTGGAAGACCATAGAATAAACCTCCTTTCCCCACCCATCCGTGTCTGTACTCTTCGCGACACCACCCTCCTCCTCCTCCTCCTCCTCCTTCAGACCTCGCGTCTGATACCGCCTGAGGATCCCACCTTTCTCTATTTGGAATCCCGAAAGCAAAAGCTCCGCCGGAAGAAGGACCGGCGCTTGGCGCGCCTTGGAGATGGTTTTTGGGCCGGGGACCGGGAGAGAGCTCCTCGGTTTCCCGACGCCGGCGGGAAGCGGTTGGGAATCGGGGGTTTGGGGGGTCAAGGGGGTCAGGGGGTCCAGACCCCAAGACCCCAAACATGAAAAACCACGAATAGCATCCTTTCATTCCATATGTTTCCACCTGGAGAAGGGCCCTTTCCATTCTGAGGGGTTTCGAGGAATGGGGAAAAGTTCGTGGCCGTAAGGTCCTTGTGTTCCAAGGGTAGTCTTGTACAGGAGACGGTCGGTGAGCTTTTGGTCGTGTGTGTATTTATATATATATATAAATTGTCGATGTGTTTCTGAAGTTGGGAGAACAGGAGGCAGGAGGCCACCTGACTTGAAGAACTTCTTGCTTTCCTTCTTTCATTCGTGTTCTTTCTTGGTTTTGGGAAGTTTTCCCTGTGATTGAGTTCAAACCTTTATGATTTTTGCTTTGAAATTGCCTTTTCTAGTCTTGCTTTTCTTGCTGATGATCTTGATATCGGTTTGCTGGCCCGAGGAAGGGCGCTCCTTCGCAAGAGCTACAAACGCTGATGAAGCAGCGGCCCGAGCGGAAGAAGGAAGAGAAGTGACCCACGGAAACCGCGTCCACTCGAACCGCGGTTTCAGTGCAAAAAAGCCGTCCCCTGAACCGCGAACTTGCAGCGCCCGGTGTTTTGCCAGTAGGTTGAAGATCGAGGACCACATGAAGGGTTGATGTTTATGTTGTTTCAGATTCATAGTTTAGTTTTCTATGGGATTTGTGGGACATGACACACTGGCTACATGGGGGCTACATGGAGCTACCAGGCCAATCGTGGCCTTGGTCTTTGACGTCAGTTCCTTCATTTCTGCCCTTGCGCCAGTCCTACAAACAGTTTATAGAAGTGGGAACATCCTCAACTTTCTCCCTGTTCTCCTGGATGATTTCGAGACACATACGTTATGTCAGCTCTTAAGCCCCAAAAAGGAGCCATATATGGAGCTTGGGCTCACCGCTGCTGCGAGTTTGGCTCAAAGCCTAAGGCTAAAGCCCCCGGTAGTTCGTTCATTAGATCGGCGACGGCCTCTCGGAAGACGGGCCTTCCGTCGCTGACCAAGATGTTGGCCAGGTGGGGCCCTGAAGAGGGGTGGCGGGCCGCGTGCGCCAGGGTTTAGATGTTTGTGGTTAATAGGCCATCAGTATAGAAGAAGCATGAGGAAAATGGTGGTTGGATGTTGTTGGTTACATCATCTTACAGCGTGCCTAACTTACTAACAAATATAGTGAGTCAGATATATATATATATATATTGATGAACTACAGATATAATACTATGTGTACAGGCGATGCGCGGGACGTCCAACAATTCCAGTTTTTCCTCTGAACAGAGGAGCTCGATGTCTGCATGGGACGAAGGCATGACGAACATCGATGGTTTCCAATCGAAAGCCTTTGAACACAATATGCTTTACTAAAGCTGTGTTCCAATCGAAAGCCTTTGTCAAGCCCCATCCAACAATCGAAGCTTCCCTAAATTTTGGAGCGCAGCTCATGTGTTTCAAGTATGTGTGTTGTTTTTTTGGAGCCTGCAGCTGACTGACGTGTTGTGGTTGGATTTGTGGGCTTGGTCCAGAATCCGGATGATCCTCCCGGAGTAGCCGCCCAACCTGAAGCTCATTCTTCGCAGCCTGGTCGGGGTGCCGGTGAAAGTTAAACCTTGTAGATGACCTCAGATGACCTCCGCACACGTCGACATCTTACTGTCCAACTTATGGTCCATGGAGCAGGGTGTGAGAAGTCCAAGTGGCGATCCATCGAACCGTCCGCTCTTCACCATCGTCCCGTCGCGAAACGGTGTGACCTTCCGACAGATCCGGAGAGGTCATCCTGGGTGATTTTGACCACACTGGCGACACTGTGCCAGAGCGTGGTCCAACGGCCCGGTTCACGCGACGTGTGGGGTCGTCGGTGGTGCGGGAGTCGGCGGTTGAGGGGGAAAGGCGTTGAAGTCCGGTGCCGATGATGAAGATGGTCGAAAAGCCTCTTTTTTTAAGCCTGGCAGTGGAACTAAGCATGACCGGACACCAACATCCAAGTTTGATGCTGGAACCCAAGGGAAGAAGTGAAACCGTGGAGGTTTCCTTTGGCTTTCAGACTTGTTCTTCCAAATCTTCAATCGGGGTAATAGTATTTGGGGCAAGATGAACCAGGGGGCTTTCAATTCATCCATCCTATTATCCGTTCAGTTCCTTTCAGAAATCCAAAAGTCTGTTCGGAAAAGTAAACATATTTACATTGGGTAAACTTGGCTTTCCGGCCATATAAGGATGCTGTGGGATGTAGGTCATGGCACCTGGAGCCAAAACCGCAGGGTAGGTTGACCTCCCAGGAAGTCTATTCATTCTTGCCGGTTTTGACCCATGGCCATATCATATCTTTCTTGCAGGTTGTCTTCTCTTCTTTCCATGGTTTCCGTGGCCCAGCTGGGCATCCGCTGCGTTCAAGGCTTGGACCGGAGCTAAGCCTTGTCAGGAAACTCTACGAAGGGGTGAACGATTACCCCTCGCCCCTCAACTGACCACCAAACCTCCTAGCCGCACCCAGGTTTCGTGTCTTCCATTCCTGGAAGATCTTCTGGAAGCCCCGATCATAGCCCAGGTCGTATGTCCATCCAACATGGCGATGGGTGAAACCCATTACTGCTTCTCTTCTTCTCAGGCACGATGCTTCGCTCTTCGCGCACCGAATCAGGATCACCAATGATCTACAATTCTGGTGTTTGCTCAGTGGTTGTGATGAGTTTCCAAAAGAGTGGCTGAAACATGACTGGTTTCATGTGTATGCCATGTGCATGCCCTACCTTCGACCAGGTCATGCCTAAGGAATGCTGGCTGTCTTGCTGGTGGGAACACGCCACACACCTCTCCCCGGGTCCTTGCGGGGAAGAACTCCTGCCAACCTGGCTTCGACAGTCAGACTCGGTTCGATCCTGGTTCTTGCAACCTTTCCAGGTGCTGCCAGGCAGGGGTTGCAAAGAGATTTCAGATACATACTGCCAAATTCTTTAAAACATGTCCAATGTAGATACCCAGCGGACAGCCAGGCTTAGTCGGCGTTTGCACATACAATAAAGCAGACTCATCAACAAATCCATTTATAGGATTTCTTGGAGAACAATCCACGTTTTTAATGATTCATTGCTTTCGCCCAAGGGTGCTATGTGTCCCGATCTTTCCACACCCTTTAAGATATGGGATCCCCGGTTACCCAGGCTTCTCCCTCCTCTCTCCAACCAAATCCATACACCTGGGGGGCCAGCCACCGGATGTTTCCTCCTCTATCCTTCGTTCGCTTCGTTTCTTCGAGAAGAAACCTCGCCATCCTCAGGAAAAAAACACGAAACACCGCCGCTTTCTCTTCCTCAGCTCCGGTGAAAACCCTGGCGCTCGGAGCCCCATTCGTCAAAACCCCATGGCAACGAACGGCGTGGCCATGGCGGCCGTAGCACTGGCTCGCCTCCTTTGGGCGACTGCGGCAGAGGAGCTTTCCTGTGCCACTTGGACCGGCACGGAGGGAACGCGCGGCTGTGGTCGGTCGAATTCGCAGCCGTGTGCGGGCCGTTTTTGGGCAAACAAGAGCGGAGAGATGTAGCGAGAGTACCAGGCAGATAAAGCAGGTGGTGAATGACCGTGCTTTCATGCATGGTTCATGGTTCATGCCAAGTACAGTAACCACTGGATCCCCAGACCCAAAGAATACAAATTTATACATAACATACACCTCATTGCTGCATAGATATACAGTCAAAACTGGCACATCAACAAATGACTTGGTGTTGATATTCCAACAATCCCCAACAGTTCCTATCACCGCTCAGGTGGATGAGAACTGTGGTGTGAACCTGGTGCAGATCCAGATTGCAAAGGCTGTGCATCGAAAGACTGATTATTGGTGTCCCGGCCCTTCCCAGCGCCCGCGCCATCTTTTTCGGTGTTCGTTCGCTTTCCGCAAAGTAGAGATTCCCCAAAGAAATAGACCTGATCCCCTATATAATTAGTGTACATTTTCCAAACAATCTGTAAGATTCCCTGAGGAAACCTGAGCAAAGAAACTGAACTCTGAATAGTTGGATGTTTACCTTGCCAACATTTCTCTGAAACAAATCAAAAGAGAACCCCCCAAAAGATCATTTGAGGAAAAAGAGCGTATAGATGTGAAAATCATTCCAGACCCCCTTCCAGAGCATATAACTCCTTGTGTGATGTTCCAGATATATGCTGACGATGCCCTGCTATGGCTCAAAGCTGCCTGTGTAACATGTTTGTTTCGCGACCGTGTCTCGCGCCATGCGGTGAAACACCCGTGTTGGCCCCTTCAGACGGTCAGCACACCAATTCCCAATGACCTAAGGATTCTGCCTGAAATGATATATTTTACATGACATACTCTGCTTCATTCAAGATGTCATCCAACCCATTTCTTCACCACTTTACCGCCTTGAACTCGCCATGTCAACCCTTCTGAACCGCTTCGAAATCGCCCCTCACAGCACCCCCACTTCATCACTCGGGTGTCGAGGTATCCCGGCCGTGCGGTGGACTACAACCGCTCGGGCTACAGCGATGCCACCGGGCCTTGGCCTCTGAAGGCACCCAGCTGGAAGCGTCTCGGCCGAACGTCTGGACCGTGAGACGGGGTGTCCAGAGGGTGTCGGACTACTGGGAGACACCGACTGCGATGTGTCCAAAAACAGCACGTTTTGTGTCCAATCACGTTTTCTATGTTTTGTGATCTGAAGATGAAACAGCTAGTTTGCTGTTATCCAGTTTGTTGGTGATTTTGGTGAAATTAATATTACCGTACATTGAGTTTTTCTGGCTTAGGTGATTCATCCTCCCAGTTCACAGAAGGAATCAGTGTCGATCCCACATGGAAGTCATTGTTCCTGTGAATTCTTCAAGTGGGACGGATGGATTGCATGAGAGCATTTGACTTTGTGATACCTTGTGCCGTTTTCGTTGGGCATTGGGTTTGTTCAACACCTTCGCCTTCGCCAATCCGCCAATCACGTCCGCGTGACTCATGTGTGACATTTAGACACTTCTCCACATGACCGAAAATTGCCTGGATGTAGAGCATGATGGACTGTGGGAGTTCCTAACTTGTCACACACTTAGGCTTATCGAAGGAACTTGTTTGGGACGTGTGCACCACCAAAATACGTCCTCTTAGACGACCATCACCCACCCCAACCTGCTTGGGTTGGGGTCTCAGGCCGGCCTGAGTGCTAACAAAGCCCAGCCGCTGGGCCGTTCCCGTCCGAACCGACACTCTCCGGGGTTCGGTTCGGTCCTTCGGTCCTTCGGTCCGTTCGGTTTCGGGGTCCAAGGTTCGAGGAAGCTGGCATGAACTTCCATCAGACACCCTGTGGCTCGGTACGAGGGGGGAAACGGAGAGGGGGCGTCGAGTCGAGGGGGATGGATGGAGTCCTTGGGTCCGAAGTGAAGAACACCTTAGTGACCCTGAGAGAATTCTAGAGACCCTTTGACCCCTCAGCACCTCCTGGGGCTTTCGGATTGTGCTAGACTTGTTCGGAGTCACTTGTCATTCACTGTACCCTTCACCCTATACCCGGTTACACCAAGAGGGTCGCCGATTAATGGGACTGCCATGTTTGCCTACGTTGGGCTGGTTTGGGGGGTCAATGTAGGCATGGCAATAATTTTGTATATGTTGTTGCGATATAAGATATATTCAGTGTCAGGGAAAGGGACCCTTGGAGGTGAATGGGTGTCCCTTCGCCCCCGACCATGTGGTCCTGGTAGCTCTCCTCGCTTTCGCGTTTCAAGCGAACTCGGTGGTATATAACTGAGCCGCCGACTTAAAGGATGGCACTGGGTCGAGGGGGTGAATGTGCTGGGCAGATTTTGTTGGATGCGTTTTTGTTTTTGTCTAGTATTGTTGTTTCTTGATGAACAAGAGCTTTGATGAGCTTTGATTAACTTAATTTAAGCTTATGAAGTGTCACTGCTTGAACCTGATTCAAGTTGTGAGTGGGGTCTTTGCAGCAGCACCATACAGCAACTGCAGCCATGATTAAGAAGAATGAACCATAGTGGATCTATAATCCGAAAATATGTGACTGATTGTACTTTGTGTGCTCAGCGTGGAGGCCACCCAAATTCGATCACTTCGGTTCGAGAACTGAAAGCACCTCATAAACCGCATCATCTGGAGAGTGCCTGCCGAACGAACCTGTGAATCCTAACTGCCAGTAGAGTACCCACCGTTCCTCTCATCTTTTGTTCATCTTCTTTCCATGTTGTGGCTGTGAATAACTAATCGTAACGAACCGCTCTCCCAAGTGACTTTTGGCAGCATATGAAAATGGCATGCTGGGCATGGTCAGCCAACCAGCTTCGCAACCGTGTCCTAATCTTTCAAGGTCCAGACGATCCCAACTTCCAAGGATTCAACCAATAAAACATCCAATGAGTGTTCGACAAGCATCAATTAGATGTTGATGTTAGATGAATTTAGATGATGTTAGGATTCACCCCTTCGCAGTTCAAAACAAAACGACCTCCCAAACTTCCACCCTTCGCTCCCAATGCCCGGCCCTTCACCCCTTTGTGCCGCGGTGTTCGCAGCAACGTCTTTTCGTTCGACCAGGCATCGACCACGAGCGGAACATCTACACGGGCAGCGACCAGGGACGGATCCTGAGCTTCGATGCCCAGGGCTCCAAGCGCTGGGAGGTGCAAGGCGGGCCGCCGGCTCCGTCGAGTGTCGGTCGGTGGATGCGGTCGGTGAACGCTTTGCATGGCTCGGGCTCCGGCGAGAGGAGAGCACATGCGGTAAAGCTACGAAAACGGAACGGAGAGGACAGGCAAAAAGAGCACCAAGGAGGATGAAGCATGCGAAGACGCGTAAATCCATTCACAACACCTACTGTATATACCTATATATATTCTAGAAATTATATTATAGATTGAGATCTTTTGAGGGACTTAGACAGAGATCTTCACCTACTGACCCCGAGCATAGGACCATTAGCCTATACCAAAAGGTAGGCCGCCCATGGCCTCTGGTCGCCGTGTCGCGGCAGATGGTCGTGCGGAACTCGCGGTGGCAGATCGCTCTTTTTGCATGGCTTTTGGCTTCACCGCTGATGCTGCTGCAGGTGGCTTCACCCTTAAAGCCATTGAAGAGGGCAAGGACTGCAGTGGCTGCAAATGGAAAGTGGCAAGTGAGTTCGCTGGGGAGGTTTCGAAACACTCGAGGAGGCGTTAGCTATGGATGTTTGCGTGCAGGAGGCTACTACGAGGTTTGCATTGCTGGTAAGAAGTTTCAAGCCGCCCGCCTGGTTGCACTTGCATTCTATGGACCTCCGCCAAGCGGATCATGGCAGGTGAATCACAGAGACGGGAACCGGAGCAACAACCGGTTGGATAACTTGGAGTGGTGCACACCTTCTGACAGACCCATGAGGGGCACTGTCAGAAATCGAAAGTCAAAACCAGTGATGGTGAGAACGTTGACCTCTGGGAGGTCTAGAACTTTTCCTTCGGCCAGGGCAGCATCAGAAGAACTGGGCATCAAGTACGAGGTGCTGATGGACCGTTGTCGAAGGGAGGCGAAGCTCGGGGTGTTGGAGTTCAAGTATGTGATGCCTGAACGATGCACAGCAGCAGAGGAGTGGCGACCCATGATCGACCCCAGATCCGGAGAAGCTGTTCAAGGTAGGATGGTGAGCTCCCAGGGCCGCATCACGTCTAAGAATGGACGCAAATCCAGAGGGTATAGACGAATTAATGGGTCGGATGCGTATTACCGCACCAAGATTTGTCTAGCTTCGAAATGGTACCATGTCCTTGTTCACGAGTTGGTGGCATATGCATTCCTCGGGCCTCCAAGTCTGCGGAATTCAGAGGTCAGACACAAGGACCTTGACAAGGCAAACAATGCAGTGGAGAACCTCGAGTACAGTAGTAGTTTGGTTGAGAACAATTCCCATGGCATGGTCAAAGGTTGCCATCCACCCCTGGTGCGAATTCACAGCCGACTTTATGGCAGCTGTGATGAGTGGAGGCCCCATCCATCCATCAAATGTGCTGCCCTAGACTTGGGCTTGGATCCCACGGCCATCGGCAAGTGTACTCGAGGCTTGCGGAGGCAGACGGGTGGCTACGAGTTCCGCCCTTCCGCCGTTGCGACGCGGGCGGGTCCCGCGGGTCCCGCGGTGCAACAGCTGCTTGAGGAGTGGCGGGTGGTGGATGCGGCAGCATTCTCTCGCGAAGACGAAGACGACTAGGAGTGAGGGATCGGAAGAGGACTACGTTCCTCTTGAGTGAAAAAGGTTTAAATCCCTCACTCCAGTCCTTTTCATCCCCCAGGATGGACTCGTGTAGACTCTGGCTGAGTTGGGTCGACCCAGATCACCCATGACGAGGACGTGGCTGAGGATGTGCCAGTGCCACGGTCGATGCTCAGCCGACGGTGTTTTGCTGTTTGGTCTCCGTGTCGCTGGAAGCCGAAGAATATGAAGAACAGCGTGACTTTGAGGAGGCTACAGTCACTGAATGCCCGCTGCTCTGAGTGTGCCAGTGTCATTGAATTTGATTTCACTTAGTAGAACGTAAAGTGAAAAGGGGTCCAAAGGAGCGCAGCCTTTGTTGATGATCTCCTTTGAGTGACGCTGCTGTGCGACACTAAGCCGCCTGTTTGCTGCACCATACTCACTCAAACAGGGGAGCTGCCTCCGTCTAAGGCGTGCACACGTCGCTTTCGTGGACCTTTATCCCATGAACCGTCGTTGAATGATTCTCAACTTTGTAGAAGCTTCTCAACTCCCAATACGTGCAGGGTATATGGGACCCTTTGGGTTTCAATGTTGATTCTCCCCGTATTTCTTCACCATGTCACTGATGGTTGATTATCCTCCCGTGTGGGTCATAGTCCGGCAGGTTGAGTTGTTTAGGTTGGCATGATCTTGCATCGTTCTTGGCAGCTCAGCCGAAGCAACAGGCTGTTGCAAGAAATATCAGCCCCCCGAATACTGCAACTCTTCAGATAAGCTGTATTTGAAGTGTATAATATGTTGCAATGTTCCTTCCTGCAATGACAGCATCCCACACTGGGGGGTGTGAAGATCACATGTTTATACTAAAAACACACTGGTCTTCCAGTGCCGGGCAAGTGAATACAACGCCAGTGGTTCAATCACCACACCGGTGGTTTGATGATCTGGAAAGGACAGCAAGATTCAGAACTCAACCCACTGTTTTGTGATTGAAGATGGGAACTTAACTTCCACATGTGTTGCTTTTTTCAGAAGTTTAGGTGACTGGCTCGCCATCAAAGTCTCTTCGCCGTTCACAGTTGCCGAATGCTTTGCACCGTTCAAGGCCCATCAAGAGCATGCCACTTGGTGTGACGGAAGACGGACGGTGAGCGGTGAAGAACCTGAGACGGGTGGCTTAAGGTCTTTCATTTGGAGGGTTGGAATCATTAGTAGTTACATGTGTTTCTTTGGATTTCTGAAGGCGTGCCCTGATTTCTTCAAGCCTTTTGCCCTAATTACGCTAAGTGAAGAACGGTTTCTTTTCAGGTCAGTGAGCACTCATGTGAAATTACATGCGAGCTGCATTTGGTATTGGCAAAAGGCTTGGAGCGTGGACAACCATGGATGCAACAGAGTTGACAAAATGACTCCTTTTTAACACCTGAGCCCAGGCAGTCACTGCCTTTTCCCTCACTGAGTCACTTGATATATATACCATCATTTAAAGTTGTTTAAATATATTTACTGTAACTAACATTACTATCATTGATTATAAATACATAGCTTATATATGGTTTATTACACCTACTCGGACCCTCCAAGCCTACATAAAGGTGTTTTTGATCACCCTCTGAGAGAGTATGTAGATCCAGTTGTGGATCCATAATATGATACAATATGAGTTGTTTTCAATACTATTGGCATTTGCTTGTACAAGGGCGTTTCATCCAAGAGTGGTTTCAAGTTTTCCTTGAAAAAACGATACGGGACGTCCAAACAAACGATACCCCTCTTGTTACATGCATTATTAGTTCTTGCAATGTTTAGGTTTAGACTTCATTTTGGGATGTCCTCCTGATGCAGCAACTATTCTGAGCATGTATGCTCAAGCGTTTAAAGGGTGTGTCTCAGTCACAGCATGTGGCATGTTTCGCTAAACTGTGCAAAACAATTGGCACCCTTGGTGCTTTTTTCCACATGAGCCAGATGAGTTATCTTGCTGCATATTCCATGGTTAGAAGGACACCAAGCAAGTGTGTGCTTGTGCTTGTTTCTTGGGTGTACTTGCCTGGTTCTTTTTGCGTTGTGCTCGCTTGCGTATGGTTTGTTCTTGCCAATGTCACAAGCAGTCAGGGGTTGTGATTGCTCTTTTGGAGGGCTGTGACCTTTGCTCTTGGCCCTTGGACTGGCCCCAGCCTGTGAGGACATAAAACGATGAACCACAGGGTGCAGAACGGGAGCTGGTTAGACAGTGCCCCATGGGCAAGTCTACAAAGGTATAAGTATAGGCAGGCTTGTGTCTTCAAGCCGAAGACATGAAATCAGGGTTCACGAACTGCAGAAACCAGTAATGTAGACTCTTGATCAATGAACCGATAAACAATCGCTTTCGGATTAAACAACCTCTTCATGTGTGGGTATAATCAATCAAGAGTCTACATTTTAAAGTGTTGGCGTTTGCTGGAAGAACCGCCTGTCAACAGTGTTGACCTTCCTGACTTCAAAGCGCTCGTCGCACTTCCAGATACTGTATTTGCAGGGGATAGATCATGTTTGCAGGGGATAGATCATGTTTGTGTGCTTGTGTTTTGTTTTTGTTTTTTTTAACTCAGTTTCTTGATGCTTCCGTTCATTGTTGGTGGCATGACTTGACCATACAATGCATGTAAAACGATGCCTCTAGTCCTCATTGAGCCAAACACTGTAAAATGGCACGCAACATCCTAACTTTGAATGAATCCAGAGTACACCAAACAAGTTTGAACGCGGCAACACATATCGGGATTTTATACATATTCATATTTATCACCAGCCCTGATGAAAAAGAGGGTAGCAACCTCAAGTCAGCACTAGAAAAGCACAACCTTGAAAGCAAGAGAACCAAATCTGACGAATCTGAGAGCCTTGCACATCATTTTGAGAGCCTTGTTCTCTTCGGTTCCGGCCAATGTGTGTTCTGATCCTCCGGCGTGGTTTCCTCGCACTCGATTCGCTCGATAGGTCAAAATCCTTTCCTCTACGATTCCAAACTCTACACCTCCTGTGATGATGGCTCCGTCGCTCGACGGGCGAAGACCGCGGCGAATGATGGAAGCGGCCGCCGGTGATTTGGGGTTTATGGCAAGGTTGACCAGTGGACCCGCTCGATTTCTTTGGAAAAGGATGCCCCAAGTGAACAGACCTCAGGGATCTTCAGGGTAACCGGGTGTGAGTTGCAAGTTGGGACTCCTCCTCATGATTTGCAGTGTGTTTGACATCCTTCAAAGTCATAGGAACCGCCTCATACAAGAGGATTCTCTTATTCCACACCCAGGCTTGGCAGGTCGGCAGATCATTATATTTGGCAGCCCCTTCCAAAACAAACAGACCCCCCCAAAATATCCCAAAATGGGATTTCAGTTGAAGCAGCAGCCATTCTGATTCCAGCCACCCAAAATGGACCACTACAGAACCTCTTGAAACGACCCCAAATGGAATTCGGACACACGGGACACATGGACCGCACACGAAAACCCGACGGCTCGTCTTCATTCAGGTCATGGCCTTGGACATGACCGACGGTCGGATCCTCTGGCACCGACAGCTGGAAGAGGAGCTGCCGGATGACACCTACAGCCACCTGGACCACCAGCGGAGCAGCGGAGTGAATCATCCTTTGAAGACGAAGCAGAGTGGATCACCGTGCCCTATGCATCCACTGCCACCTTCTCAGAAGGTAATTGGACCTTCCAAGCCTACATAAATAGCCTCCAATCACCATACCTCAGGTTCGGTATGTGGATCAATAGGGTTGGATCATCTTTTAGCCATCAGAAGTGCATCACCGATCCTGTCATTCCCTCAAATATTCCGGCCTTTTTGACCCTTTCAATTCCAGGGAGAAGTCACGTTCTTGAGGGGTTTGCTTCTCCATGAGCTATGACATCTTTGGAGTAGAAAAACCGCTCAAGAATCAGCAAAGGAAGATAGAGAGGAAGCAACCCAGGTGGTACATTTGTGCCAGCATCGGTGTTCTTTTTCTCGTAGACAGACAGGTATAAGTTGATTTGACCATATGACATATGACAGAGGGTCCATGTCACTTCTTCTTGTAGGGGTATATAAATAATAGTCTATGTTACTTCTTGCAGGGGGGTGTATATGAATAATATATGTATAAAATTTAAATATATATGTGGATGAAAGAAACACGGAAACTCAGCAAAACTGTTTGAGCTTAGGGCAAAAAATGACGGGTGCCACGGTTGGTCCCACTGGTCAAGCACTGCATGGCTGCCACGGTGCATGTTGTCCCCGGCATCGTGGGGATGGTTTGTTGTGCTTAGAGATAACCGTTACAGAATGTTTACAGAATTCAGCCCTCAACAGAGACTTTGGGGAGGAGAGTTCTCGCGAACCAGTTGCAGAAACATGTTTGACTTCTGAGAACCTATTGAGACCCCATAGAACCACCATGTCAACACTGGTTGGATAAAAAGAGAACACCGCTTTACAGAAGGCTGATTGAAGGTTGTGTGTAGCTCAAATCGTTGGTGCAGTCATCCCGCAAATAGTATATTTGGAGTTTGTTCAGTGTTGCTATTTCCCTTCTCACGTTCCATCCAGTCGGGGATGAGTATAATGATTCTAAGTAATCCCAAGGTACATCTCAATAGTCACTGCCACATGTTTGAGCTTCTCAATTCCTTGAACATCACTTGGACATCTTTGGATCCAAACTATTCATCTCTGCACAGTCACCACATACCTTGCATCATGCCGAAGCTGTTGGAGCTCCTTTTCGTGCCATGTATGTGTTACCATACCGAACTGCTGCTTTTCATTCCATGTCTACTTTCCCGCAGAGTGAGTGTCCATTCGGAACCATTTTTTTGTTGGGGACCTCAACACACCTTGCACACTCGTCTTGGGTGTTGGGAATTGGGTGGGCAGAGCTTTCTGGTGCTTAGCATGAAATCCTAAGGTATTTATGGTAAGGGGTCATTCCCTCATTCTTTACATGTTTCTACTAAGCAGTTGAACCGCGAACCTTGAAATATATATACACGAACCTCAGTGTAGAATCAAGGCTTCGAACAGCATTCAGAATCATAGTGTAGAGTCTTGATTATATCCACGAACCTTCACTGCCTATGAAAGGCCGTGACGGACAGGGACCGCAAGTCGCGCTATAGACACGAACCTCTCAATTTGAAGAGGTTTTGCACTCCAATTGGGGGCGGTTGTTAATCAAGGTTCTACATTGCTGTTCATAGATCATATCCTGAACACCTATGAACACCTTGGGATCATGTGAGATCCACAGAGACCATATTGGTACATCTGACCATTTGGACGTATTTGTAGACATATTCGTGTCAAAACGAGTTTGACATGGATGACTGTCCATAACAGATCACAAAGTCGCATTGAACAGAGGTATGACAGCTACAGAAGAGTTTCTCTTTATGCCATACGGCTATCAAGACGCTTGGACGAGGTGGAATAGGACGGTTTCGAGGCGTTTGAGAGTTCGTTTCTCGTAGTGTCGACAACAAACAATGACAACAAACACGTCCCAGTTCGTCAAGGGTTTTTGGAAGATTGTGATCCTGCGCCCAGAGTGACTGGAGCGACAGAGTAACCTTCGGCTTGAGGATTCTTACAATCTTGTTGACCTAGCACCAGAAGAAGTAATTACAGATAATTCAGTAACCAGTCTTCTTCACAGGCTGCAGTACTCGTACTTACTTTGCATGTGAAACAGGAGTGTTGTCCAGCAATGTGATCCGATCCTCACATGATTGTTTTTTGTTAAAGTCACTTGTTGCAAACTTTGAATTGTCCTCGCATAGTCCAGCAAAAGGAGGTCACGTTTGGTGGTCCGGGCTTCTGCCAGCCATATCTGGAGTTCACGAAGGACCCTCCCATTGCCCGATTTTGCCGATGTTGCTATATCACGGTTTGTATTTCCATGTCGAATTCATACTTTCTATTAGGTTGGAGGCAATGCCATCGCTTCTAGGTTGGAGGCCATTATTAATTGGGTTGGAGGCTATGATGTTCTGAATTTGAACCCTCCACATCGCACACCAGATCGATGCTCCAGTACATGGATTTCCCACCAACAAGCCAGATGTCCTCGCAACATAAACAGTGCCATCCAGTGCAGCCCTGTTCATCACAGTGTGTTCTAAAACATCACAAAAAATCTCAAACACATCCAAACGCCAGCAAAGCACCTCATATTAAGTCCCCTGAAATATGTATTTTCCACCTCCTCCCCAAGACACATCCTTTGACGCCTTGACTTACCCGATCTGAGAAAAATCTCATGAATCCCAAAGATCGCACCGGCTCGCCGGCGGTGGCCTTGCTGCGGCGCTCGGACGGCAAGCTCTTGTGGACCTTCGAGGTACCAGGCGCGGCTCTGACGGCGGTCGGCGGAGGCACTGGTGACCGGTTTTCTGAAAGGGTCCACTTCAAGTGACCTGACAGAGGCTGACAGAGTCGGTCTGCGTAGACTATAGATTACTCGATTTGCGGAGTCTGCGGAGGGTGCATGAACCACAGGTTCATGGCCTTTCGGGGAGAAATGGCCCTTCGCAGGGGAAAAGAACTCTATGGATGAAGGAAGGGTGCGATGAAGGACCCACCATTTTATCTTCGGCAACGCAATGATCGAGCACCTTACTACAAAACCTGGAAGAATATTAGATTGGGTCAGACTTCGTTGGTCCATTTTGACGCGTCCCACTGGAGTTGCCCGTCGGAGGACTGGTTGTTCGTCGTTCTCCCAGGTCCAAAGCAGAACCTCATTGAGTCGTGTTTCCGTGCGACCAAATCCAGTAAAATGAGGGTCAAACTGACCTGTAGGGACAGTCAGTAGGGTTTTTTGTGGTCCATCACAGAGGTCCCGGGCTGAGGGACGAGCCCAAGCTATTTCATCCACTGTGCTTTGCATTGGGTCCAAGGCAGTTTCCTCGGGAAGATGCTTGAGGATGCTTGCAGGTCCAAGCGTACCAATCCGTGACCAGTTTTCTGGCGGGAACGGTTAAGCTGCCCACGTCATCACGTCCATTTGGGCAAGTCTTGCAAACGCCATCCGTCACTGGCCTTCCCCCACGCCCTTTGTTGCACCAAAATCATTAGAACAACCCCAACAGCTGTTGGACGTGTTGAGCAGCTGCACCAGTTGACGGATTTGTTCTTCTTTTGCTCCAACACCCAGGCTCCTCCACAGTGAACCTGGCGCCCTGCATGTTTGAGACCTCCGTTGCCACTCGGAGCTGACATGGCGGACACGGCGAACGTACATTCAATCATTTTCTATGACAGGTAAATGCTTATACAGTATACATAGGTCAGACGGGCTATGCAGATTCTGTATGTCCAAATGGCATCTTGTAAGTTATCTCAGTATATTGTCTAGTCTACTCCACAGAACGAATTCCAGTGGCATTTTGGGTGGCAGAGGAGTAGAACTGTCAGAAGCAGATGGGTAAGATGATGGGAGTTTCTTCCTTCTAGGGAGTGATCGGTTCCAAGTGAAAGACAAGACCCCGCAAAATATAATGATGTTCATCAACGTATTTATCCATATGAGCGCTCTTTTTGCGCCCCAGCAGACACACTTACTGTGCTGTTAAATTGTTTTGGCCGTGAAACATTGCCAAAAGACAGGATCCAACCCTCGCCACCAAGCCTTTTTGGCAACCAAACCCTCCCTCCGGTCCCCCCTTGGCGCAGATCTTCAACGATGTGAGCGGTGGCATTTATCACTTGCGCTTATCCGATGGCTCGGTGATTTGGAAGAAGGAGGCCCTCTCGCCTGGCAGCACCACGGTTGGAGAGACACAGACGGCCGTCGACTGCCAGGGCGGCCGCGGTCGAAACGTGGCGCGAGCCGACTGGCTGAAGATATGCCTTCTCCCGGATCAAATCATTCTCACACTTAGAATGGGGTCTCATGAATCGTCGCGTCCTTCCTATACATAAATCGGAGGGAGTGGTCACAATGGTCACATCCCCCTTCTTGTCCTTCGGCAGATCGCCAAGACATCCGTTCGTCAAAGCCCCCAGCGAGAGTCAGGCTTTGCCTGTAGAGTTTGGACGAGTTTTCTTTGTGAGCCTAGAACGCAAGAAGGACAAGTGAGCCTTGATAATATTGAAGGCATGAAATCTGTCGTTGCTTTCTTTTGCTGCTGATCTACTGATCATGTCATCCTCATTCTTTTGTTCTCCTCAGTCGGTCTCTCCTTCAGCTCCTAGAGGTCTTCGTTTCCGGGAAGTTAAGGAGACCATCTTCCCAGCGACTCGCGTGAACTCTCCACTCGCACCACTCAGGCTATACCCTGGGCGGAGTGTCGTGCAGCGCGGATGGGAAGGTCTACAACGGCTTTTCGGTGGGGACCGGTAAGAATGAGCGACTTGACGAAGGTCCCAGTGGCGCCTGGGAGGTGCCGTTGGTGGGCTACTGAACTCGAGGCCTTGGTGGTGTCTACCTTGAGATTGTAGATGCTGAAGCCAAGGTGCTTTGTGACCTTTGGCTTCAGGCCTTGCCAATCGAGGTGTGTTGGAAACACCTCAAACAAAACACGGTTTTCGGGTTGGAAACCGCCGAGCTGGTGTCCTTCATTGGGTTCAAAAATCGGCCTGCACAGGCCTGGACAAGAAGTCTTGCCCCATCCCACAGGAGCCTGGAACGTGTATTTGGTGTGTGTGTGTGTGTCCCACTAACCATATCTAACCGTTAGCACAGATTAGCACTATCATTGAATCCTGGACTGTTTCAATCCAAAGCTTATCTATTTCCTCCAGCTCTTGCTGAAAGAACATCCTGCATAACTTGCATTTCCTTCCCCAAATACAGAAAAGAACATCTGACTAGTATATCATCTCCTGTGTTTTCTTCACCTGTGTTTTGGTGCTATCACTTCTTCCATCGCGGAGGAGTAGCTTGGTGCGTTACTGAAAGTTAGCGCGTGGAGAAGACATATAGGAATGATCTGGCAAGATCCTTAAATTTCTTTGACTATAGAGAACATGTCCTCACCCCTGAAAGAATCGACAAACACATACAAATACAGTAATTTGTATCACCCAGACGCTCGTGGACCCTCATATGCAGGGGTTGGGCCCTCATATGGAGGGGTTTGGACCCTCAAATCCCTATGGTACCGTGTTGAGGGACCAAGGGCTGTTTGGAGCGTTTGGGCATCATGTCATCATTGGGGTAACCTTTTTCTTGAATCCCGTAATTCCTATACAAACTCTCTTCACCCTTTGCGCCTGCCCAGTCAGGGCACAACTCACCTTTTCGATTGCTTGTTGCGCTCATCAAGGACAGGTGGCCTCCAAGCGCTCAACATCAGTACTGGTGAGCGGATCTTCACCAAGCAGTTTAGCGCCGCAGTGCACAATGCACCCGCAGTGGGGAAGGTCTATGGACACAACCGTCGCGTGGATTGGATGGGGAAAAGCTCAGGGGTGGGTGGCAGTTGTGTATTTAGCACAGGATGGCGTGTAGCTTGGTGATGTTCAATATCTCAGGCACTCCATGTATGGTAATATCCCGGCTAGATTGACCCCTTTTCAACCACAACTGATCCGCATATGCCAGTCCCATGGAGTGTTTGGGTATTGATCCTCCAAAAGCATGGCCAGTCCCTTGGGCAGTCTGAGTCGCGATGGGACAGGGAGCATGGTTGGTTGGTTGACGTGCGTTGGAATAAACATGAATAAACCATCCATCCACCGTTCTTGAAGGGGCGATTTCAAGATGAACATTGATCTTCCCCTATGTTTCTTGCTTTAGGTCGGAGTCCTAGCTGCTAGTAGGTTATCTGGCCATCGCGGCTATTAGCCGGTTCCTTAAAAGAACAGACCAACTTGCCAGTTCTTTCTTCATCTCTGAGGTTTAGCCGTCGTCTTCGGCATGGGCGAGCCTGCGGGAGTGCCCATTGGCCCTCCACGGCACGTCAACGGCACCGTCTTCGCAGCAGATGCTGCTCGGGTGTCGATCCGGCAGCGCTGGCAGTCGATCTTCGTTGGGTGTCGACTTACCAAGTTAGTTAGCTCGTTTGACTGGGGAACGTTGGAGCCAACGCCCCAGGAGTTGTTTCTTTTTTAGAACTACTGAGTTTAATTTATTTGACGGGGACTTTCCAGGTCACATGAAGTCATTCTTTTCAGGCCGTGCAAGCGGTTTGGGCCACGGGGTGTCGCTGAGGATCCCACCACCCCACCCGGGAACCTGGGCACGTCTCCAGCATGTGCTGCGAGAGAGGTCCCATCCCCATTGGAATTCCATCACTGAGAGTCAAGTCACAGTCCAACACCACTTCTGGAAGGTCTCCTGATCCCAAAGGGTGAAGCCCTGCAGCCCAAAAAGGCCACCTGGAGAAGGGAAACCCATTCCGCGCCTGATAACTGGGAATCCCTTTCAATCCATTCCGCCCTTCTCCATCCTTCTCCTGTCATCTCCCCCCTGTTGGCCTCTTCGAGGCGGAGACGGGTGAGGTGCTGTGGAGCTTTGAACCCGCCGTGGCTGGGCCAAATTCGGGCGGCGGCGCGACCGGTGGCGGCACCGGTGTTTTGTTATTGGGCAACATGCTGCTCGTAGGTCGTTCCAAACGATTGGCTGGTCAGTAGTAACTATGACTATAGCGTGGACAATGGGGTCTTGGACCAGACAAGTTTCCTCTACGTAGAAACAGGAGGGTTTCGATTCTATGTTTGTTCCAGGGCGGGTAGTTTTATCAACTTTTCTGTCTTGCAGACACATCCTGGCTCGATGAACAAGAGCTTGACACACACACACACACCCTGAAGCAGACTGCATGATCACATGTATTTTGCTGGCTCCCAGGACTCACAATGAATTCATGGTGTCAAGATGCTTCACAGTGTTGACTCTACATCTACTTGCACGCACATAGATGTAGATACAGTTGAAGTCAGAGCACTTCTCTGACTTCAATCCTCCGAGCTCAGCGTGCTCTTCCACTCGCCGCTCCTCGAGGCTTGGGATGGTGTGGGGGTGGCCGGGTCCACCATGGACCAAATCTGCCTTCCAGACCTCTTCTCTGCCGCGACCATCTCCAAGGCCCGGTCCCCGAAGTGGAAAGAATTTGAGGTTGGGATGGAGAGCACTCGTTGTCCAAACTCGCAAAAGAACAGCTTGGGCCGGCTTGGACTCGCCAGATGTTCATACGACCGAGTAGTTTTTATGGAAAAAGACCGACTCAGTTGGAATTTGTCGGTTCTATACATTCAAAGGACTGCAATGATAGGACTGACTGTAGTAATTGAGCAATCGGTGACCAAATAGACAGTGGCACGATTTCCAATACATGTTGAAAGGGGTTTTACTTTTCTATCTATGACAGGGGGTCGAGTAGGGGGTCTATATTTGGTTAAACCTCGTTAAATCCATATAAGATACTACTCATTGAACACTCTGATTTCACAAGGCAACTCGGAGCCGGTCGAGCCGCCCCCGAGCCCCCGAGAACGAGGATGGAACCGTGTACATTAACTGGTCCGCTGGTGGCGTCACCTATGCCCTTCGAGAGCCTTGGCGGAGATGCTCCCTGCCTTGTGTGTTGGCAAGAATGGCAGAGAACACGTGAAGTGTTTTGTGCCCAGAGATGCTGAGAGTGATGTTGTTCTGAGGGTACAGATTAGACGACGTGTGTAGCTGATTCAGATCGGGGCACATTAGATTCAGAGGTGGTTGTCCATTTTCCACCCGTTCCAGCTATACAATTAAACAAACAATTTGCTGCAGCCTTGAATGAAGAAAAGAGCTTCCCCAACTAGAACGCTTTCCGCAACTTTTGCAAGGTTTAGGTGGTTGCATAAATGGTTCAGTAGTGTTTGTCGCTCCCCCTTCCATCTCCTATATTCCATTACACCCTGGAAGACTAAAATGGACCCTGAAAACCAGTGGTTGGTAGAGGAAAACACTCTTCCAGGGGGCCATCGTCAGGGTCGATGTTAGTTTCGGGAGTGTATATTCCCTTTGATGTGTTTGACTGATTGACATCCGTGGATGCCGAGTCCGAGTCAAACAACCTTTTGACAGCCTTTTCACTTTTCACACGATCCTTTGTTGAGCACACAATTGACAAACACTTTGAAGTCCAACTGCGAAGTCATTCCAAAACTGATTTGGCAAAGAATTGATATAGAGATCATGACTCCCAGGCAATCCAAAAGATCGTGTCATCAAGAGCATCATGATTGAGCCAGTCTTTCCGAATCTGAATCCGATTTATACGGCCACGCGGGGTCTGTTTTTGCCATGTTGGGACAGACTCCAAATAGCTTAAATCATCAGAAGTTTGATGCATCCTCCACCAAGAGCCAATATGTGTGGATTTCCCTGCCCCGATGCGGGTTCCGAAGCATTTCCCGGCCTCACAGATAGGAACCTCAGTTGGTAGCAGACCACGGCAGGATGTCAACAAGGATGGCCTTTGTGATTTGCACGACCCGGAGGAGCCCGGAGATTCGCGGACTAGACTAAAACAAGGTGCGGACTGAACCAAAAGGATCTGAGTCTTTGGTGGACAGTGGCGTCTTTTGGATCTTGGGAAGGAGTCTCTGATTGTTCCACAGAGAGAGAGAGAGAGTGGCTTTGAGCCAGAGAAAATCGGCTTTGGGGATTTTGTTGCATGAAAAACATATCTAGGACCTATCAGCAGTTGCAGCTTGAAGAACCATGGATTGAACTCCCCCCTGGAAAAAGAAGGAACACACACACACATCCTGCACATCCTCTTCACCATCCTGGGTACCCTTTGCTATTGGACACCCGCAGGAGGTCTCATTCGTGGACCTGGGCAGTGGCGCGACGGGGCCTCCGGCCATCGCAGACCACATGCTGCGCCTGGGATGGGAAGACCGGCACAGTACGGGGGGTGTCTTGGGAAGAGTGTTGGGGGTGCCGAATGCCGTGTGCAGGGTGTTTTGGGAAGAGTGGTTTTTATGCTTTCTTCTGTCAAGGTGGTCGGTGGTAGAACCCTCGAACTTTCTTGTGTGGCTGGCAAGGGTTGCTAAGTGCGGATGAAAAGAACATGTCCTGGAGGTAAAAAGAACGATGTTGGGAAGGCATACTCTGAAAGTGGACTTGGTTTTCGAGGAAGTGCGGGCCAGGTTTTGCAATCTCTTTCGTGTGTGGCTCATCATTGCTGCAGACCAGCCCAGTTCGTCCAGAGAAGGTCCTGGTAATGATTCAAAGCGTGTAGACCTTGTTGTTTGGATGATTTGATTTGAAGGGGTTCATGTGGAAGGTTTGACACGAATCGTAAGGCCTTCTCATCAGTTGTTTGTTGCATCAGAACTTGATAGGGTCAAGTGTTCATGGCACAAGGGTCGAGCCTTTTTGAAGGGTCCATAGCATAGGGGTCATTTGTTAGGTGTTCCAGCCCGGTGATTGACCCACTTGAAACAAATCCCACGGTATTTGAAGGGTCATGTGTTTTGGGTGTGTGGCACTTCCAACCCAGCGATGTCCTTTGCTTGGCTTTTGGCTGGAAATCGCTGGTACCGAACATCGGGGTGTGTGGCGCGTCGTCTCGGCTCCAAGGTTTGTGAACACCTGCAGACGTCCAAGTGCTTTCCTGGACTAGACGAGCCCGATAGGCTCCAAGGTCGGAGCCGTGTTGTGTTTTTGGTTTGGGTCACATCCACTCAGGGCTCATGCGTGACAGGTGGATTTGGGTTTGAAATCATTGGAATCCACCAATGAGCTCATTCCCTCTACAAGCTCTTTTCTTAGTCATGCTAGCTTCTTAAGAACACCTCAACTTAGAGGGAGTTCTATGTCCAATGAATTCAGACTCAGATGCATGTCTCGGGAGTTCTACCCCCAACAAAAACGGCCCGGTCGATGGCGGTCGATGGCCCGGTCGCAGAGTTCGCAAGACCAAGAAGTCAGAACACCATAGAGCTCGCGCGCCCCTGTGGTTCGACGGTGGGGCCGAACTGAACCCTAGGCCGGTGGGGGGCGCCTGTGGGGGGCTCCGGTCCCACCTGTTCAGGTTTAGGTGGGAACAGACCAACCCTGGCACCCACCCAAATCACCTCAACGGAGGTCGGCCAGGAGAGGCCGTGCAACGTTGTCCTTCATCGGTGAGAGTCATGGGACGGAGTAGAAGCACCGGAAACGAGGCGGTTCGTTGGATGCTTGGAACAGTCACAGCCAATCACATTGTGTTTTTGATTTTGCAACAATATGGCCACATGAGATGTCATTTCATGTCATCCACTATATTCATCCACTTTTAAAATGCTTTCCATTCCGTTGGAACAGGAAATTCTCAAAGTAGAGACCCTGTAAAACCGGTCAGACCGAAGGTCTTGCGTTTTGTATTGCTATGTGACCAAACATTTTTTGGGGCACAAAGGGGGGAATGTTTGCTTCACTGCAAATCCACACAGGTCATAGTCGACCATCCTCCATCACTGGTCACGCCGGTCAGCGCCTTCTCCACAGGTCACACCTTGGCGGCGGTCCGTGTGTGAGGCATTGACGACTGCAGAGCAACTGCAGAACTAGGCAGAACTGGAGTGATTCGTGCAGAGTGCCCGATCGAGATTGAGACATGTGACATATAGCATATATGCGGATGCGCATATATACGCTCATTATTATATCCAATAGTCTATACTGCACCTTTTGCAAGTTCCTGGGCCCCTGAAATGCACACACAGCTCGCTCTCACGGGGGCCACTCGAATCCCGCCTGGCTCAAGCCGCCTTCCCATCGTATGTGTGGGGAAGACCGAGAATGGCAGCATCCAAGCGGACAAAAGATGCTGCGAGGGGCCGCAAGCTGCGATGATGTACTGAAAGGTCCTTGTGGGGGATCTACTCTGGAGAATATCACAGACTACGCATACAATAATATATGTGACTATTTCAATGTACCTTAATCCTCAAGCAATGCCAAATTGTACAATGTAGAATAAAAAACACGGACCAGCACGAACTTTTGATCAAGGCTACTACAGCCGGGTTGGCACTCCCACTAGATGTGTGTTGAGTATGGACTAACGAGTGATGTTCAGAACATGCCCGAATGTTGTGTGAGGACCCATCTTTGGAACAAAAACATGTCCAGCAAGGCCTACCAACTTCGATCCTTGATCCCTCAATGCTGTTCTGATTTTGTGAATGGTTTCATGTGCCTTGTGGCACTTGGAGGCCCAGACTTGGCCAGTCTATCCACTCACGAAGGCATCACAAATAGGCCCCAAGCACAGCTTTCACACACATACTGCTTTGGATCACTATATATAGACATCTGCCAAGACCCAGGAACCAGGAAACATTTGCTTTTCCCTACTTCTACAGAAGCCCTCCCAACACCGGCAAGCTTAAGAAAAACACTTTCGCAGCTCGGTCTCTCAACCTCCATGCTTGAGCACCTGGACAGACCCCCACAACCCCCCAGACCATCCATACATTATACAATGACCTATCAATGGATAGGTCATACATTTGGGTCAAGGTCTACTATTTCCATTGCTCGGCACCGGCTCCATAGAGGAAACCATGTCTGTCTCATTCACTTATAGAGTAATGTGGGTCAATGGTCAATGTCTCCTACCATTAACTCTTCCACAGATCCCTGCCGTCTTCACCTCGTCGCGCCGCCAGGCCACACAGTTGGACCTGGCGAGCTCCGCAGGTGCCGTCGTGGCCTCCGCCATGCCGGTGACCGGAAATCAGGCGGGTTTGGGAGGTCGAGTGAAGGTCGAGTTGAGTGGCGGTTTGGGTGTAGGGGAAGGGATCAAGAACACAAGGATCACAAGGTGAGGGAGGGGGTTCCAGAGGTGTTGGCGGTGTTGGTGCTTGTTTCTGGCATTCTTTTGGTGCTAGCAAGTTTGTCTCACGTGGTGTAAACGATTTCGTTCACCACTATCAATCAAAACACGACACGAGGACTGCTTGACCCAATAGCTTGCACCTCCTGGACCAGCTGGTGACGTGCCGGGTGCAAGCAATGGGCTACATCTTGGACCACAGAATAGTGTACGTCCTATCAGCAAAATGGTGTTTTGATGTGTTTTGTCTAAATCATGTACTCAGGGGGTCACTCTAGATCTAAGCAACAACGACATGATCTAAGCAACTGGCTGATACTGAAGCAACCTTGTCCTTAGGCGCAGGCTTTGGGCTCACACCGAACGCCAGTTGCTGATCGCTCGGACCTAGCCTTGGTCCATGTCCGACCGGATGTAGGGTCTCGGCCCCCAGTCAGTGGGTAGCCTGTCACCTTTTTTGCGGGGGACGATTGGTGAAACCCCAAAACTAACCATACTCCCCTACAGATTCTCATGGAACCCAAAACCACTTCGTTCTTCATACTCGAAACCGGTCATTCTTCGTTCCGTCCGACACGGGGAATCCGTAGTGTTCTGGCCTTCGGTGAAGCGCTGGGGTCCCCGGGAACCGGGCCAGAACCTCTTTCAGCTGGTGGTGCCTGGTACCTTGACGCCGGGCAACTACACGGTGAAGGCGCACAGCAGCAGGGTGGAAAGGAGGGCGCACAGCTGGAAGTGCCATGTCGAGACATCACCTGCCTTATCGTTATTCAATGTTCATGATCGTTTTACAAGGTATCAGCAACTGAGTATATCTCAATATGTATCTTATGAAGGCTCTTGCATGTTCTTTTTTGCACGTTTTGGTCATCCATGCATGCTCAATTGATCAAAGTAATCCACGCTCACGAGTCGTTCACGATGACAGGGACCGAAAGTGGTAGAAGTACGTACGACCTCACGCTGCGACCTCGAACGCTGCGTACGGGTCCATTCCGCCATGCACGGTCAGTCAGCGAGCCAAGACTCTCATGACCAAACGGCTCAAAGGTCAACGGCTCAAAGAAGCCAAGCCCTTAACGACCTGCAGCCTATGATCCTCAGAAACGTCATCCACCAACCTATGATCCCTAGCCTATGATTCGTATGATCCCCAACATTGAATCTCCCTGCGGAAGGAAGACGACCGACTTCACCATTCCAGGTGCCTGTGTTGCTTCCACAGCTCCAGCCGGCTCCTGGGAGGTATTTGGCCAGCAAACTCCGAAAATCCAGTATTGCAAGACCCCAACAAATCCCAGCAGCTCAGCTTGGGCACTGCGAGTGGAGATGAAGAGCAGTGGCACTGCCCATAGCATTCTCCCCTCGAGTTCATGCCAGGCCATTTTAGGCGGACGACTGGGTATGTGGTCCAAGGTTCTTGTCCAAGGTCGACCTTGAACCAATTTGAGCAGCAAAGCATAGAAAGGCCCAAAATGGACGGCTCAAAGGAAAAACATCAAAGCAACCCTTTTTACCACCCACTCCAGGACCCTGGGAGCAGCGCGGCGGCCGCCGTCCAGCTGCGGGGCTTTGGTGCGATGTTGCTGTTGGAGGCGGCCATCCTCACATCGAAGGGGGGACTGTTGGATCGAAATGGGATTGAACCAACAAATCGATGGGCCGTGATGGGATAGGTTGTAGTGCTCCCCAAATCAGATAGTGGCACGGTTTCCAATACTATCTACGAATCTATTGGTGGCTTATAATGGTTCATTGACCCCACACCGCACCCAAGAATCTGGAAAATAGGAGGATCAAATTTGGAGGCCTTTCCAGTGCTCATGGAAGATTTTGCTTGGAGCGTGCTCCAGCCAGTCATGTTCATTGACCCCACACCTGTGCCCCGCTCAAGTCACCCAACAGGGCTCCTCGAATCCGAAACCGTGAATGTTCGACGGTCTTTGGTCGATGAAGATGAGGAAGTTGCGCCTGATGGGTCCATTGTCCAGTTGTTGCCAAGTCGGACAATGGGACAAGCCAAATCGGACCGGACAGGTCGACCGTCTGGAAGAGGTACTCCCAAACACTGCATGGGACTGCCATCGGACTGCCGATCAGTTGGGGTGGTGCCAGGGGGGGTCTTTCTGGGGCGGCAGTCCTATGGCAGTCCCATTAGTCGTGTCTGGGACTCATAGCACTCATGTCCGACTTCATGGGATCGCAACAATTGGTCCAAACCCGGGGGCGCCAGGTTGTCCATGTGGCCGAACCTACCAGAAAACGGTCCAGCAAGAAAAACAACAAAAAACACATAGCTGCGGTAAGAGTTGGATCAGGGGCAGAAACCTCCAGAGATCACTTCCGAATGTTCTGACTTGGATCTCACTCTGCCTTATGAAAGGCTCAACATTGGGAGGCCTTTCAGATTTCAACCAAAGAGCTTCCGTCCATTCGTTCAAATCTGCAGATGCCATGAGATGCCCTGGTGTTTGGGATCTCTGAACACAGTCGAACAGATGATCACAGACTTCCTGGGTCCATTGTGTGTGTTTTTCACTCTACTCTATCGGGTGTCTTGTCAGGGCTTCCAGTACGTAAATATATATATCTCTCTAGTATGTTGAAACATGTTGAAACTCAACACCAAGATCTACATGAACGGTTCAGACTGGTTCAGACTTTCACTTTGTGAACCTGACGTTTTCGTTCCCTTTCGCTTCTCCATGTTCGATGAACGGTGCTTTCAGGCCGACAAGGCCCTCTACAAGTGTCTGGACGCGTCGCCGTGTCGTCTCTGCGGTGAAAACCGGGACGGGTGAGTCGGTGAAGAAGCGGAAACCCTGAGTCGGTGAAAACATGTCGGTTGGTGAAAACAGAGTTGGAACATGTTGGAACTATATATTTATTACGTAATTCATGGATTCATTGATGTGTGATATGTATATTGTAATTTATAGTATCAACGATAATTCATATAGCATATAATATAAACATATTATATATTAGTGCTTCTGAATTTCTGGGTGTCCAGAACGTTGTTCTGCCTTTGGAAGTCTGACTGCAGATTGGGAAAAAAAGGGCTTTGCTGTGAGTTTTGGTTGGGGTCAGGACTGACAAGGATTCGAGCAGAAAGTCGGGGAATTCGTCTAGAAGACCTTGTAAAGACCAGCAAGTCATGCGATACCTCACTCCGTAGGCCGGTTCGACAGAACATGGCCCTACTATTTCCCCTATTAATCCACCTCAGCCAACAAATCCACTCTAGATTTGTAGAAAACCGAAGATTCACGTCCTTTGGCCACTTCCAACCCCCCCGGCTGCTGGCACGGCCACTGGCACGGCTACCGGTGCCATCCACCGAGGCCCGGGCAGAGGGTCCGCTTCAGGGCGGTGTCACTCAGCTCCGGCGCTCTGAAGCCAGCGCCCAGGAACCTGAGCTTCGAGGCGGAACCGCGGTTTCCGCCGAACGCCATGGCGCAGCCGGGTCAAGACCGAAGAGGTTTTGCTTGGGGGTTCCGGAAGGATCGGAAGGTATATACGAGGTTTCTTGGGAGAGGGCGGTCGAAGGGATCAACACTCACTGAAGATGGGTGATGATCACCTCTGTTGAAGACTTTGTTTTGAAGTGACGAAACGCGTCCGGTCGTGGCGGTCTCGGAGAAGATGACCAGATGGTAAGTATGTGCATCATAGCTTTGGCTATACCCCCCACGGAGTACCAGTCACCACTTGCAAAAGTAGAAGAAGGAAGGTGCTCATGAGTTTAGGCTGCTAAAACACAATTGTCCAGAGAATGTCCAA